TGTGGTGGGAGAACTGCTTGAACCCAGGAGGCGGAGGTTGCTGAGACGGTGCCACCACATTCCAGCCTGGGTGACAAAGTGAGACTCAGTCTCAAAAAAAAAAAAAAAAAAAAAAAAAAAAGAAAAAAAGAAAAATAGGCCTTCCTCATTCCCATCCCTATCACTTGCTTCCTCTACCCAGAGGCAACTGCTATTTCCAATCTCTTACACGTTCTTCCAGAGGTGTTCTAATGTACACACTTACACACACGCTGTGACAGTACCACACATTCTCTTCTGTGCCTTGTTGTTTTTGTTCAAAAAAAATCCAATAGGGCCGGGCGCGGTGGCCCAGGCCTGTAATCTTGGCACTTTGGGAAGCCAAGGCGGGCGGATCATTTGAGGTCAGGTGTTCGAGACCAGCCTGGCCAACTTGGAGAAACCCTGTGTCTACTAAAAATACAAAAAACTATCCAGGCATGGTAGTGTATGCCTGTAACCCAGCTACTCAGGAGGCTGAGGCAGGAGAATCCCTTCAACCCAGGAGGCGGAGGTTGCAGTGAGCCAAGATGGCAACATGGGACTACAGCCTCAGTGACAGCTAGATTCTGTGTGAAACAAAACAAAACAAAACAAAACAAATCCGACAGATTCCTCAGTGGTACCACACTAGTACACGTGTGGGTTGGCCTTCTTTATAGACAGGTACCACAATCTTATTTACAATCTACTGTTAATGAACCTTTACACTGCCTTTTTCCCCCTACTATACTATGGCATTGACTATATATACACATCTCTGTGATCTTACATGGCGTGGACTTATGAATGTACCTTAGGACAAATCTATAGCAGTGACATTATGATAAATATACTTTTAAATCAAATAGCTATTACCAGCTTCCCCTGCAAAGAGGTTGTCGTGATTTACACTGTGGAAGAGTACTTCATTTCTCATGCCCATGACAATGGAGTATATTATCCAACTCCTTAATCTTTGCCAATCTAACAGGTGAAAATGCGCTAACTTCATTTGTTTTTATTTTAATTTCTTTTTTTTTCTTTTCTGAGATGGAGTGTCACCCTGTTGGCTGGTGATCCACCTGCCTCAGCCTCCCAAAGTGCTGGGATTACAGGTGTGAGCCACCGTGCTGAGCTGATCTGAATTTCTTTCATTATGAATGAAGTTTTACTATTAAAAAAAATTTTTTTTTTTGAGATGAAGTTTCACTCTTGTTGCTCAAGGCTGGAGTGCATTGGCGCGATCTTGGCTCCCCATAACCTCAGCCTCCCCAGTTCAAGTGATTCTCCTGCCTCAGCCTCCAGAGTAGCTGGGATTACAGGTGCGTACAACCACGTCCGGCTAATTTTGTATTTTTAGTAATGATGGGGTTTCTCCATGTGGGTCAGGTTGGTCTCAAACTCACTACCTCAGGTGATCTCCCTGCCTTGGCCTCCCAAAGTGCTGGGACTACAGGCATGAGCCACCGCGGCCAGCCCAAAAAATATTTTACGCTGTGTATTTCTTCTTCTATAAACTCTCTTCATATATTTTGCTGACTTTGCCTGTGGGTTTTTTACTTATGTATGGGGACTTTTTACTTATTTGGGAAATGGTCATTTATAAGTAGGGGAAATCTCTTCTCCCACATTGAATTCTTAGTGTTCATATTTTGTTGCCATACAGAAGCTCTTTATTCATACACAGTGAAACTTATCACTGTTTAAATTTATGGCTTGTGAATTCACTAACTTTGATTTATGAAGCTAGGTAAGAAGTTTCTATTCCATTGGGCAACCATGTTGCTCCAACACCATGTATCAAATAATCCACCTTATTTGAAATACCACCTCTATAATACACTAAATTCTCCTCGTGCATATTTGACTCTATCCTGTTCCATGCTCTCCCTGTTCTAGTCTCTGGTAGGACCAGTCGGCGCTCAGCTCTCCCCCTGTCAATCTAATCTTCTTTTCCAATGTTTTCTTATTTCTTCTATCTTAAATATTCCAGTCATCCTTTGATCTTAGTATTTGAAGTCTTCCTCATAGTGATCTTTCACATTTCTTACTAAGTTTATTCCTAGCTCTTTTCTTATGTTTGTGGCTCTTATTAAGGGTATTTGTGGTGGGGGGAGGTATTTTAAAATTCCCTTAGACTTTCTATTTAGCCATTATATGACATGTACTTTTAAATTTCTGATGTTACTGATGATATTAGATATAAATATCTGGTTAAGATAGAAATTCTATATATAGCACATCAACTGTATTTTTTAAATGCATAGACAAAGACATGAAAAGAAATATATGAGAGGGCTGGGCATGGTGGCTCCTGCTTGTAATCCCAACGCTTTGGGAGGCTGAGGCAGGCGGATCACCTGAGGTCGGGAGTTTGAGACCAGCCTGGCGAACATGGTGAAACTCCAGTAGTATAAAAATACCAAAATTAGCTGGGCATGGTAATCCCAGCTACTCAAGAAGCTAAGATGGGAGAATCGCTTGAACCCAGGAGGCAGAGTGAGCCAAGATGGTGCCACTGCACTACAGTCTGGGCAACAGAGTGAGACTCCATCTCATTAAAAAAAAAAAAAAAAAAGTGTTTCAGAGTCCTGCAGTTAGTTTTACTCAAAGAATGACATGTAAAATATATATCAAGCTTAAAGGGAGACTACTATCATTACTCCCCGTCAGAGAAGGAGATTTGGTACTAACTTGTTACCACATCACTAATGCACAGGTATCTTGGTTAAAGTACAAGGACACAGAATGTACTATGTGCCTGTAAGCATGGCATGTCTAACAGCTACATAGGATAGGGCTTAACAAAGTTATTAGCACACTTATTCTTTAACAAGAAAGGAAACTTTAAAAGGGAACTTTTCTACTTCCCACAGCCCCCCAAGTGGCTGGGACTGCAGGTGCATGCCACCACACCCGGCTAATTTTGCGTATTTTCAGTAGAGATGGGATTTCACTGTGTTAGGATGGTCTCCGTCTCCTGACCTGGTGATCCGCCCGCCTCGGCCTCCCAAAGCGCTGGGATTACAGGTTTTCGCCACTGCGCCCGGCCAATGTTGCCCTTTTAAATAAATGTAGTCAGGCTTTTTTTTTTTTTTTTCCTTAAATGAATTGATTTAAAGATACTAAGCACAGTGTGTATGTGGCTGACATTCTGAAACAGACATCCACTGGTTCTAAATGAACCCCTGGGCCAGATGCTCCGATTTTTGTTTGTTTTGAGACAAGGTCTCCAAGCTAAGTGCACTGGCGGGATCACAGCTCACTGCAGCCTTGACTTCCTGGGCTCAAGTGATCCTCCCACCTCAGCCTTCCAGGTAGCTGGGACCATGACTTGTGCCACTAGGCCTGGGTTTTTTTTTTTTTTTTTTTTTTTTTTTTTTTTGTAGAGATGGGTTTTTGTCATGCTGCCCAGGCTGGCTCAAACTCATGGCTGCTTCCACCTTGGCCTCTCACAGTGCTGGGGTTACAGGCAGGTGCCCTGTGCCTCGCCTGGTTGTTTTTTCAGTGATACAGGAAGCTATTCAGCTAAGTGTGAGTGAGGAACTAGAACCCTTCTCCTGGACCTCCGTGCATGAATTGGGGAACTTCTTTCTCAATCTCAGTCTATTTTCCTCCAACGTTCAGGGTCTCTGTTCTTTTCTGTGCAGTCCTGACCGTTACGTGTGCCCTCCACGGTTGTAAGGGATGGTGGTTTGGACACAAAATACCTAACATCCTGGGTGTCAAAATTCCCTAGTGAAGTCAGGCCCTGGGCTTCTCTGTTTTGTGAGTCTCATAAATCAGGCAGACATGAGCTTTTATTAGTGGATGCGGCAAATAAACACCCTAGTCCACAGCTTTGCTCAGCCTGGCCACTGAAAGAGCCACCTAAATAAAATCTCAGGTCCAAAAAAATTGGCCTTCCAGGGCCCCGGCACCCTTTTTATCAGTCTAGTAATAACCTTTCGTCAACCTTTCCTTTTCTTTTTAATCTGAATGTGTGCTGTAATATGCATAAAATACCCAAGTCCACATCTTAGCATTCTGTGGACTTAAAATGTGTCAGGCCGGGCGCGGTGGCTCAAGCCTGTAATCCCAGCACTTTGGGAGGCCGAGGCGGGTGGATCACGAGGTCGAGAGATCGAGACTATCCTGGTCAACATGGTGAAACCCCGTCTCTACTAAAAATACAAAAAATTAGCTGGGCATGGTGGCGCGTGCCTATAATCCCAGCTACTCGGGAGGCTGAGGCAGGAGAATTGCCTGAACCCAGGAGGCAGGAGGTTGCGGTGAGCCGAGATCGCGCCATTGCACTCCAGCCTGGGTAACAAGAGCGAAACTCCATCTCAAAAAAAAAAAAAAAAAAAAAAAAAAAAAAAAAAATGTGTCAAAGGTGGAAACTTCGCTTCTGTAGTATATCAGTAATCAACTTCCCTATACATCAAACATTCAGCAAATTCAAACGTTTTCCTCAAAAGCTGTGTGACTTTGGCCAAATTCCTTAACCTCTCTGAGCTTCAAGGTGTGTACCTCCTCAGGTCATGATTAAAGGAGATTTCATATCTACTGGCTTACAAAAGGAAAAGAAATTAAACGAGATAATGGGAGTGAAGCAGTGTGGCTCAACATAAGCATTCAATAAATACTCAGTTTTAAAATTGTGCTCTCAGCAGCGGCGCCCTGCAGAGGCTGCACCCTGGTGGGCCCGAACCTCCCGAGTCTCTGCCGCTTCCCCTACTCTCTTGCACCGGTTCATTCCTTCCTTCACCGGGGTCTCCTGAGCGCCATCCCTCGTGCTGGACGCTGGCTACTCGAGTCGGGATCCAGCCGGTCCCCGCCATTCCTCAGCCCGCAGCCGAGGAGGGGAGCAGCTCGCAGCGCCGGCGGACGGGCGGTCACCGGGGTGCGCCCCTGGTTTTGGAAGGGCCAGCGGGGCGCGAGGGTCGGCGTCCGAAACGGTGTGAGGGGTTCGGAGCGGCGATCCAGGGAGCGGGCTCTGCCCGTTCAGGAGCGCGGGCGCAGGAGGACAAGGGGACTCCGGGTGCGGCCCTAAGGCCCGGGAGGATCTGCGGGAGGCGGCAGGACCCAGGGCCTTGAAGGCCGGGCCACGGGATCAGCCTCGCCCCATCGGCGAAAGGAGCCCCAGGAGGGAGGCCTCGGCCCGGCCGGTCACCCGGTCGCCTTGCAGGAAGGGTCCCGGGCAGCGCCGAGCCGATGCAGGCGGCCCCCCGCCCTAGCGGACGGGAAACGCCCCGCCGTTGGAGGCGGAAGGAACGGCCTGCGGGCTGCGGCACTCCCAGCGTTCGCAGGGGCGGGAGGAGCCGGAAACGCCGGGTGCGAGGCCGGTGGGCCCAGCTCTCCCGAGGCAGGTGATTGGTCGGCCCCGGTGACGGCGGGGGCGCGCGCGACGGTCCCCTCGGTCTGGGTGAGTCCCTGGATCCCCGCTAGCTCTTGAATCGCCTCTCGGGGCCGGGCTGTGACTCCCTCCGGCCGGCCCGGACGCTGGCTCCCGCGGCCCCGTCTGGAGGGATGGAGCCGGGCCGGCGCCTCCTTCCGGGAGCGTTCCCGTTCTTCTATTCCGAGCTGCCCGGCCAGGACCCCTCAGGGACTTCCGTGGGGCAGCGGCGAATCACGCGTGGCCTAGATGACCCCATGCCTAGAAGAAGGCAGCGCGGGGCGGTGGCGGCGCGCACGGCCGAGTGGAACAGAGAGCGTCCCCGGGGCGGGAGCCCGGTAGCGGGGGTGGGGAGACGCGGAGGCCGCCGGGATGCGGACCCAGGGGACGCCAGGCGGGAGCGCGGGAGCCGGAGACGCGAAGGAGGAGCGGGAACGGGCTGCGGGAGGGGGCCGGACTGGGAGCGAGGGTGGAGCATGGGCAGGTCCTGGGCGGGTCGGACTTTAGGGTGTGGAGAGGAGGATCCTGGTGGAGAATAAGACCAGCTGGGGCTGAGGTCCGGGCACGGGGAGGCAGCACGGTCCTAGGAAAAGGTTGAAGCAGCGGGAGCCCGCCGAGAACCGCCGCGAAGGAGGGTAAAGGAACCGCCCCAGTATCCAGGACGTCCGTTTCAAAGATTTTGTGGTTCTTGCAGAGCAGGAGCCCACGCCAAGATAGAGCATGATACGCCCAATGAAGCTGCTTTCGATTCGGTCATGACTTTGGTGATGAACTGAAGACATAATGACTTTTTAAAAAGTTTTTATTATGAAAGCTTTCAAACTTACACAGAAGTATAGAAAAGTAGAGACGATAGCATACCATATGGATCGAAAGCACTCCTCATGAGGCCTCTCAGGAATGGCAACCCCTGCTTGTCAACACCTCAGGCCTGGTGCGGTGCCTTATGCTTGTCATCCCAGCACTTTGGGAGGCCAAGGCAGGCAGATCGCTTGAGATCAGGAGTTTCAGACAAACCAGGCCAACATGATGAAACCCCTTCTCAGGCCGGGCGCGGTGGCTCACGCCTATAATCCCAGCACTTTGGGAGGCCGAGGCAGGTGGATCACGAGGTCAAGAGATCGAGACCATCCTGGTCAACATGGTGAAACCCAGTCTCTACTACAAATACAAAAATTAGCTGGGCATGGTGGCGCATGCCTGTAGTCTCAGCTATTTGGGAGGCTGAGGCAGGACAATTGCTTGAACCCAGGAGACGGAGGTTGCGGTGAGCCGAGATCGTGCCATTGCACTCCAGCCTGAGTAGCAGGAGCAAAACTCCGTCTCAAAAAAAAAAAAAAAACCCCTGAAAATACAAAATTTATCCGAGCATGGTGGTGCATGCCTATAATCCTTGCTATTCAGGAGGCTGAGGCAGAAGAATCACTTGAACCCGGGAGGCAGAGGCTTCAGTGAGTCAGGATCACGCCGCTGCACTCCAGCCTGAGAGAGAGTGAGACCCTCTCTCACTTAAAAAAAAAAAAAAAAAAAAAAAAAAAAAAAAAATTCACACTGATAATATGCTAATCTTATTTACTAAAAAAGTTCCTTTCATGTTGTGAGGGTATAGAGGTCCAGTTATTCAAGATAAAAAGAGTTCTGGAGATTGGTTGCTCAACAGTGTTGAACATACCTAACTTTACAGAGCTGTACACCTAAAAATGGTTTAAATGGTGATTTCATGATATGTGTATTTAGCCACAGTTTTTTTTTTTTTTTTTTTTTTGAGACGGAGTTTCGCTCTTGTTACCCAGGCTGGAGTGCAATGGCGCGATCTCGGCTCACTGCAACCTCCGCCTCCTGGGTTCAGGCAATTTTCCTGCCTCAGCCTCCTGAGTAGCTGGGATTTACAGGCACGTGCCACCATACCCAGCTAATGTTTTGTTTTGTATTTTTAGTAGAGACGGGGGTTTCACTATGTTGACCAGGATGGTCTTGATCTCTTGACCTCGTGATCCACCCGCCTCGGCCTCCCAAAGTGCTGGGATTACAGGCGTGAGCCACCGCGCCCGGCTTGGAGTTGTATTTTCACTGGGGAGGCTCTGGAACGGACCTGTTGATTTTGGTGCTCAGCACACTGGACCTGGCGTGGGATGGAGGTGAAGCACTGGAGGTGCCCTCCGGTTTACACTAGAACCAGAGGGTTGAGCCAGCCCAGCAGTGCGAGTCGGATTTCTCCCAAATGTTCCTGTTTTCTTACAGTCTAAGGCTCTCAGGAGTGTGAATGAAGTGAGAATTCACCCTTTTACCCACTCTCACTCTTTAGGGTCCATTTTCAAAATGACATCTACTCCATGCCTGTCTTATTTCCCTAATGTACTTTATGGAAGTTCTTCACACTACTGGAGCATTGGTATTACTTGTTAGACAGCCTTCCACGTCCTAGCTCTTTTCCAAGTGAGTCCCACATAAATAACCCTGAAACCACCTTTCTGCCCACCCAAATCCAAAACGAATGAGAAAGTAACAGCCAGATTTAGTTTTTCGTTTGTTTTTCGAGACGGCGTCTCCCACTGTCCCCTGGGCTGGAGTGCAGTGGCACGATCTTGGCTCACTGCAACCTCTGCCATTCTCCTGGCTCAGCCTCCTGAGTAGCTGGGATTACAGGCACCTGCCACCACGCCCAGCTAATTTTGTATGTTTTTTTAGTAGAGATGGGGTTTCACCATGTTGGTCAGGCTGGTCTCAAACTCCGGACCTCGTGATTTGCCCACCTCGACTTCCCAAAGTGCTGGGATTACAGGCATGAGCCACCACACCCTGCCTAGTTGTTTTTGTATTTTTTTTAATGTATTATATTTTAAAATGATTTTTTACTTTTTTATTTAAGAAGTAGAGACATACTGGTCTTGAACTCCTGGCTTCAAGTGATCCTCCTGCCTTGGCCTCCCAAAGGGCTGGGATTACAGTCATGAGCCACCATTCCTGGCCAGAGTTTGTGGTTTTTGACTCCTCTTGTCTTCCTCTAGGGACCCTAGAACCACTGTTTCCTCTGGAGCTAAATTTTAATAGTATGAGTTGGCACATAGTTGAGAATTAAACCATCAATTGAATAAACTTCATAGTTATATTGGTTACTGAGTGATGGGTATTTAGGAAACTATAGAGCCCAAATGGCCCTGAGGCCATTTATCCGGTCCCCCGCTGCACTTCAGGAAGGGGCACCTCTTTCATTGGTGGTCCGTAAGAGGAGCACAGTATGTGGCGGCCCTCCAACGGTCTGAGGGACAGTGAACTGGCCCCCTGTGTAAAAAGTTTGGGGACACCTGCTATAGAGGAACTACTCAGAAAAGGCTGGGCGCAGTAGCTCACACCTATAATCCCAGCATTTTGGGAGGCTGAGTAGGGAGGATTGCTTGAGTCTGAGAGTTCAAGACTAGCCTCGGTAACGTAGGGAGATCCTGTCTGTAGTAATGAATTTTAAAATTGGCTGGGTGTGGTGGTGCACACTGTGGTCCCAGCTACTGGGGAAGCTGAGGTGGGAGGATCGCTTGGGCCCAGTAGATTTAGGCAATAGTGAGCTGTAATTGCACCACTGCACTGCAGCCTGAGTGACAGAGAGAGACCCTGTCTCCAAAAAAAAACAAATCAAAAAAATATCTGTAGGAAAATAATGTTATTGCTAACATATGACTCAGCCTTTAACTTCCTTTTTTCTCATGGAAACAATTGTGATTTTACATTAAGATTTTACATTAAGTTTTTTTGAGGAATGTGGCCATCATATTATATCATAACTGCCTGTATACAGGAGATGATATGAAATGAATGAACCATTTTGTTACATTTTCCTTTGTAGGGAAGATGGAAGAGTTGAGTCGAGCCCTGGCTAGTAGCTTTTCTGTGTCTCAAGATCTGAACAGCACAGCGGCCCCACACCCCCGCCTGTCCCAGTACAAGTCCAAGTACAGTTCCTTGGAGCAGAGTGAGCGCCGCCAGCGGTTACTGGAACTGCAGAAATCGTAAGGCAGCTTTAACTCCTTGGCTTCATTCTCTGGGCTAGGAGCTGTGAACCATTCAGGAGGCTCTAGACTTGTCTGCAGAGTCCCCTTCAAAGTAGACCCTTTGTAGGCTGATCTTGCCCACAAGGTTGGGAGGGGTAAATCCTGGCAGAGGTGGGTTTTTCTTTTATACCCAGAGCTTAGGAGAAGATGAGGAAGTAGGGAGGACCAAGGTTTGAAAGCAAAATCTCAGTTATTTGGTTAAGTTCTTTTTTTCCTGGCAGCAGTACTGAGCCCTGTGGTTTAGGAACTTGTGAAAGCCACGCCCAGACCTTCACTCCCCACATTCCCTGGGATGCTTGTGTGTGGCTTCTGCACTCTGAATGCTGGTATTGCTGTAGTCTTCCCATCTGCCTTCACTCTTGGGAGCTGAAGACAAATAATTCCTAAGGGAATCTGAGGAAATGTCTTTCATACACTTAATTCTAAGTGCCAAGATGTGCAGACAGGGAAAGAGAGCAGGATAAGGGTGTTTGGGGCTGAGCTGCTCCGAAGGCAGGGCTGATCCTTACATTCCCAGGGCAGCGTGGGCCTCTTCCGGGTCATAAATTAAGGAATTAGGGATCAGAAGAAACGACTAACAGCTGCGTCGTTTCCATGCAGTCTGCATTTTGCTCAGTGTTGCATCACTGGGTGTGTTTGCCAGAGATGATCCCTGTGGCTCTGGCTGGCTTGCAGAATACATTCCCAGATGATTCTTCCTCTCCCCATTTTAAACAATGTCATTAGTTGTTTTTGAATAGTTAATACAGTCATAAGGTTGAAAATTTAAAATGTAAAGAGGAGCCCAGGCACAGTGGCTCAAGCACGTAATCCAGCACTTTGGGTGGCTGAAGCGGGTGGATCACCTGAGGTCAGGAGTTCAAGACCAGCCTGACCAACATGGCAAAACCCTGTCTCTACAAAAAATACAAAAATTAGCCCGGCATGGTGGCTGGCGCCTATAGTTGCAGTTACTTGGGAAGCTTGGACAGGAAAATCACTTGAACCTGGGAGGTAGAAGTTGCAGTGAGCTGAGATCACACCATTGCACTCCAGCCTGGGTGACAGAGTGAGATTCCGTCTCAAAAAAATAAATAAATAAAAAGAAATAGAAGATTATATGGTGAAGTCTTCTTCCCAGTTCTGTCACCTAGCTATATAGTTCCTCTCCTGTATTATTAGTTTCTTGTGTATGCTTCCAAATATATATAATGTGTGTGTGTGTGTGTGTGTGTATTATACAGGGTGTCACTCTGTTGTCCAGGCTGGAGTGTGCAGATCCTGGCTTACTGCAGCCTCAACCTCCCAGGCCTAAGTGATCCTCCCACCTCAGCCTCACAAAAAGCTGGGACTATAAGCACACTCCATAGCACTGGGCTAATTTGTTTATATTTGGTAGGGACAGGGTCTCTCTGTGTTGCTGAGGCTGATCTTGAACTCCTAGGGTCAAGTGATCCTCCCACTTTGACCTCCCAAAGTCCTGGGATTACAGATGTAAGCCGCTACGCCCGGCCCTTCCGAAGATATTCTATGCACCTCTGAGCAAGTGTGTGTGGTTGCATGTATACAAAAAGCTTTTTTTTTGGCGGGAGGGACGTGGTCTTAATCTGTCACCCAGGCTGAGTACAGTGGCATGATCTCGACTCACTGCAACCTCAGCCCCCCACATAGCTGGGACCACTGGCGCATGCCACCACACCTAGCTAATTATTGTATTTTTGGTAGAGACAGAATTTCACTATGTTACCGAAGCTGGTCTTGAATTCCTGAGCTCAAGTGGTCTGGCCGATTTGCCCTCGCAAAGGGCTGGGATTACAGGCAGGAGCCACTGCGCCTGGCCTTTTTTAAAATTAACACAAGTAGAGGTAGACTCTATACTGTTCTGCACATGTATTTAGTGGTGTTTGGGGGAGAAATTCCATGTCAGTTCATAAAGCACCACATGATTCCTTTTCTATGGTGCCAGGTGTTCCATGGAGTGGATACTTTATAATGCTGTCTAGCCAGTCCCTCCTGATGGGCATATCTGGGCAGTTTTCGTCTCTTGTGATTATAAACAATGCTCAGGAAATGACCACAGACAGACTTTCTTTCACACATGTACAGATATTCTAGCTCTCTTTTATTCTCAAAATAAAAGACCATCTTGCTTTCTTTTTTTTTTTTTTTTTTTTTTTGAGACAGAGTCTGATTCTGTGGCCAGGCTGGAGTCCACTGGCATGATCTCAACTCACTGCAACCTCTGCCTCCTAGGTTCAAGCGATTCTCTGGCCTTAGCCTCCCGAGTAGCTGGGGCTACAGGGGCACACCACTAGGCCCAGCTAATTTTTGTATTTTTAGTAAAGACAAGGTTTCACCATGTTGGTCAGGATGGTCTTGATCTCTTGACCTCGTGATCTGCCCACCTCGGCTTCCCAAAGTGCTGGGATTACAGGCGTGAGCCACCGCGCCCAGCTAGACCATGTGCTTTCATGTGTTCTCTCTGGTGTGTGTCTTTTTAGAATGAGCATGAACATGTATGTGTTTAAGAGATACTGGCTGTGTTGTTTCACTGCCTCAGTGGTTGAATTCCTGCCTTAGCACTGAAGAAATCAAGTGTGGAACGTTATATGATATTTCCAAATCACTTTGAAACAATTAGGTTCCAAAAGATTCTTTTTTTTTTTTTCCTTTTCAAGTTCCCAAACTTCGTAGCATGTCGTTTTAAAACAAGATGATGATAAAGGGAAACAATAAAATATATTAAATTGTACACTAAGTGGCCTTTTTTGAAAGTTAGACAGGAACTGGAGAAAGGCCTGGCTTTTCAGAAAGCTGTATAAGCTAGGCACAGTGGCATACACCTGTAGTCACTACAAAAAAAAAAAAAAAAAAAGAAAAAAAGTTCTCTTTAAAAACAAAAAAGGTGTGGGCTGGGGACAATGGCTCATGCCTATAATCCCAGCACTTTGGGAGGCCAAGGTGGGCGCATCCTGGGATCAGACTCCTGAGGAGATTGAGACCATCCTGGCTAACATGGTGAAACCCTGTCTGTACTAAAAATACAAAAAATTAGCTGGGCATGGTAGCACGCACCTGTAGTCTCAGGTATGCGGGAGGCTGAGGCTGAAGAATTGCTTGAACCTAGGAGGCAGAGGTTGCAGTGAGCTGAGATAGCGCCTTTGTACTCCAGCCTGGGTGAGAGAACAAGACTCCATCTCAGGGGAAAAACAAAAAAAGGGTGTATAAAGCAGAAATTTCCAGAAGCTTTCCTTGCTTTAGACTTCTCACTGCATCTCAGTGGCTCTTCTCTTCCACCCCTGGGGTCTTTGGATGAGGTGTCTGGTAGGCAGGAAGGTGTCAGCCCCCATCTGGGGTGGGATGGGATAGGCGTGAGATCAGCCTTTCCAGCTAGTGAACCTTGGAAATTTCTTTAGCTATTTTAGGAAACTCTGAGGAAGGCTCAGTATATTCAGAGGGGGTTTCCCTACTTAGGATTTTGAGGAGGCAGTCACTGGTTAGCCTTGCAAAGGAGAGTCCATCATTTCTTTTTTTTTTTTTTTTTTTTTTTTTGGAGACAGGGTCTCACCATGTTGGCCAGGAAGGTCTCGATCTTTGACCTTGTGATCTGCCCGCTTTGGCCTCCCAAAGTGCTGGGATTACAGGCGTGAACCACTGTGCCCGGCCCTAGATTCCATCATCTCTTACTTCCACTAGAATCCGCAAGTTGCTTCCAAATCTGGAGCTTTTGAATTAAATGTTTCACATTGTAGGGTGTCTTCCTAGAAGACACAAAGGCCTGCCCTGGGCAAACATGGTGGCTCATGCCTCATAATTCCAGCACTTTGGGAGGCTGAGGCAGGCAGATCACTTGAGACCAGGAGTTGAGACCAGACTGGGCAACATGGTGAAACCCCATCTCTACAAAAACTGCAACAATTAGCCAGGCATGGTCGTGTGTGCCTGTAGTCCCAACTACTCTGGAAACTGAAGTGGGAAGACCACTTGAGCCCAGGAGGTCGAGGTTGCAGTCAGCTGAGATTGCGCTACTCCAGCCTGGACAACAGAGTGAGAACATGTCTCAAAAAAAAAAAAAAAAAAAAGATCTGTCCTTATGCCTTTTTTTCCTTCCAGCAAGCGGCTAGATTACGTGAACCATGCCAGAAGACTGGCTGAAGATGACTGGACAGGGATGGAGAGTGAGGAGGAAGATAAGAAAGATGACGAAGAAATGGACATTGACACTGTCAAGAAGTTACCAAAACGCTATGCTAATCAAGTAAGTGGTCCGGAGATTAGACCCAGCTAATCTCACTCCGTTTTCTATGCAGTCAAAGCCCACTGAAATCAATGCTGTCATAAAGAGAGGAGAATGAGGCAGGAAAAAGGAACAGGAAGTACAAAGAGCGTGCTGATGTACTCAGAGTATATGGGATGTAAGGAGAGCCTGACAGTGCTGTGACTGACTGGGAATCACTGATGGAGGCCGTGGGTAGTGGGGTTTGGGAACCGCTAGCCCATGCTGTTACCAAAGCCTGCCAGCCCACTGCAGAAAGCCCCTGAGCTGTGGATAGAGTCACAGACTCCATATCCTTGTGATTTTTTCAGTTGTCACTGCACAGCTGTTCTGGATTGGGCCTGCCCAGCCTACCACTGGCTCCTTCCACTTCCCTGGGTGGTAGAATCTTTCCCAGGCAGTGTACTATGAGGCCAGTCTTGAAATTTCACACTCAGGTGGTGGCAGGTGGGAAATACAGCTGCCCTTGAATAAAGTCAGCCTGCCCAGCCTGCCCAGCCACCCCAGACCAGCCAGCTGGCCAAGGTGAGGTTCAGGCCATGGAACAGCAGATCAGTATAATCGACCTGACTCAGTGCCCTTTTAGATCCAGAGAGGAAACCAACATGGCTGTGGTGGCACAGGGAAAGAGGTGTGGAGAGAGACTGTCCTTGTGTTTCAGGCAGCTCAGGTATTCCAGAAAGCAGGGTGTGGGTCCAAGCTGGGGCAGGGCTCTACCCTGCTATCATGTACTTATTGTCTAGAACCCAAGTGTCCCGTCGTCTCAGAATTCTCCCCTGCCTTTAGAATATGGTTTCTGGGGCTGAGTGTGGTGGCTCATAACGGTAATCCCAGCACTTTGGGAGGCCAAGGTGGGAGGATTGTTGAAGCCAGGAGTTCAAGACTAACCTGGCCAACATAGTGAGACGCCATCTCTTTTTTTTTTCTTTTTTCTTTTGAGACCGAGTTTCTCTCTTACTGCCAAGGCTAGAGTGCAGTGGTGTAATCTTGGTTTACTGCAGTCTCCGCTTCCTGGGTTCAAGCAATTCTCCTGTCTCGGTCTCCTGAGTAGCTGGTATAACAGATGCCTGACACCACGCCCAGCTGATTTTTGTACTTTTAGTAAAGACAAGGTTGACAGGGTTTCACCATGTTGGCCAGGATGATCTCGCACTCCTGACCTCAGGTGATGCACCCTTGGCCTTCCAAAGTGCTGGAATTACAGGCATGAGCCACTGTGCCTAGTGAGACCCCATCTCTTAAAAACAAAAACTAGAATATAGTTTTTGGATGCACTCCCATAGCCCCTTTCTTTACCTCAAATACAGTTCATATCAGATGCTCTCTGGGCGCGGTGGCTCACGCCGATGATCCCAGAACTTTGGGAGGCCGAAACGGGTGGATCACGAGGTCGGGAGTTCAAGACCAGCCTGGCCAACATGGTGAAACCCTGTCTCTACTAAAAATACAAAAGTTAGCCAGGCCTGATGGTGGGTACCTGTAATCCCAGCTACCTGGGAGGCTTAGGCAGGAGAATTGCTTGAACCCAGGAGGCAGAGGTTGCAGTGAGCCAAGATTGTGCCACTGTACTTCAGACTGGGTGACAGAGCAAAACTCTGCCTCAAAAAAAAGAAAAAAGAATCCTTTGTGACAAAGTACAATTCAATTTTGTTCAGTAAGCATTATTGAAAGACCTGCTCTGTGTTAGGCTATGACATGGGAAGGTAGACGTGAACCGGAAGTAGCCCCTGTACTCCTAGAATAGGTGTAGAAAATGATTTGTGCTATAAAAAAGCGTGATTCCTTCCAACCAGGGCTGGAGTGGGTGTGAAATCAGAGAAGGGTTCGTGAAGGAAGAGGCAGTCATGACGGGTGGGTGGGACATTAACAGACAGATGTGCAGAGAAGGGTTGGTGAAGGAAGAGGCAGTCGTGACGGGTGGGTGGGACATTAACAGGCAGACGTGCAGAGAAGGGTTGGTGAAGGAAGAGGCAGTCGTGACGGGTGGGTAGGACATTAATAAACAGATGTGCAGAGGAGGGTTGGTGAAGGAAGAGGCAGTCGTGACAGGTGGGTAGGACATTAATAGACAGATGTGCAGAGAAGGGTTGATGAAGGAAGAGGCAGTCTTGATGGGTGGGTAGGACATTAATAGACAGAAGTGCAGTGCATTCTAGGGCATTCCGGGCAGTGGGAACAACAGGCTGAGTGTGAGTCCCGGAAGCGGGAAAGGAGTGTATGGTGTGCTCGGGAGCAGTTTGTGGGCCAGTTAGGGTGGAGCGGCCTAGAGTTGGGGGAAGGAGTATGGCAGAAGAGATGTAAAGGGCCTCAGAAATATGTGCAGGGGCCGGGCGTGGTGGCTCACCCCTGTAATCCCACCATTTTGGGAAGCTGGGGCCAGCAGTTTGAGACCAGCCTGGCCAACATGGTGAAACCCCATCTACTAAAAATACAAAAATTAGCCAAGTGTGGTGGGCATCTGTAGTCCCAGCTACTCAGGATGCTGAGGCAGAGAGTCACTTGAACCTGGGAGGTGGAGGCTGCAGTGAGCCGAGATTACGCCACCACATTCCAGCCTGGGCGACAAAACTAGCCTCCATCTCAAAAAACAAACAAACAAATATATGTGTATATATATATATATATACACATATATTTGCACATACTATATATAGTGTATGTATGTGTGTATACACTATATAGCATATACATATACATATATATGCTATATAGAGTGTGTGTGTGTGTGTGTGTGTGTGTGTGTGTGTGTATTTATATCTATGTGTGCAGGGAGCCAGGCACATACCATATATACAGATACAGATATAGATATATTTTATGTGTGTGTGTGCGCGCAGGGAGGCCAGGTGCAGTGGCTTACACTTGTAATCCCAGCACTTTGGGAGGCCAAAGCAGGAGGATTGCTTAAAGCCAGGAGTTTGAGACCAGACTGGGCAATATAGGAAGACTCCATCTCTATGAATAATAAAAAACAAATGAAATAAATAAAAAGGAAATGTTGGCAGGTAGAATGGAAGAACCTAGCAGTGGACTGGATATGAGAGGCGGTATGAGACGTGGTCAAGGCTGTAAGCTTTGAGGTCACATAGATCTGATCTCACAGCTAGGTTCTGTGTTGACCTAAAGCAAGATATGTAATCAGTCTAAGCCTCTGGTTTCTCATCTGTAAAATAGGGGGTAGTAATAGTACTTTAAAAATTGGTAGAAGGATTAAATGAAATAATGTGCCTTAAATACCTAGCCCAGAGCCTGTAAGTGCCCCACAAGTATTAGCTGCTACTACTATTTTGTAGTTACATTGAGATGTAATTTATGTATTTGCCTATTTATATTGTACAGTTTACTGTTTGTTTTTTTAGTGTAGTCACGAGACTGTGCAGCCATCACCACTATTTAATTCTGGAACATTTTCCTTACCTCCAAAAGAACCTGATATACTGGGTGTCACTCTCCATCTTCCCTGCAGCCCCTAATCACTAAGCTCCTTTCTGTGCCTGTTCTGCACATTTCGTGGAAAGGGAATCATATACTATGTGGACCTTTGTGACGTGCTTCTTAGCGTGAGGTTTTCAGGGTTCATCCATGTTGTACCATGTATCAGTACTTCACTCATTTTTATTGGTAAATAATATTCCACTGTATGGATAGACTACATTTTGTTTATTCATTCTTCAGTTTATGGCTATTTGAGTTGCTTCCACTTTTTTTGGCTGTTAGGAATAATGCCATTTTAATTTATTTTTAAATTAATTTGATTTATTATTTTTTTTTGAGATGGAGTCTCACTGTCACCCAGGCTGGAGTACAGTGGCATGTTCTTGGCTCACTGCAGCCTCCATCTCTGAGTTCAAGTGATCCTCCCCTCTCAGCCTCCCTAGTAGCTGGGACTACTCAATGTGTAACTACACTTGTAACTACTCAATGCCACCACACTTGGCTAATTTTTGTATTTTTAGTGGAGATGGGGTTTCACCATGTTGGCCGGGCTGGTCTCAAACTCCTGACCTGAGCTGATCCACCTGCCTTGGCCTCCCAAAGTGCTGGGATTACAGGCGTGAGTCACCGCACCCAGCCAAATAATGCCATTATTAGCATTCATGTACCATAAGTTTTCGTGTGAACATATGTTTCCATTTCTCTTAAGTATATACCTAGAAGTGAAATTGCTGGGTCATATGATAACTGTTGAACCTTTCGAGGAGGTGCTAGACTGTTCTCCAAAGTGACTCCATTACTTTACATTCCCACCAGCAACATGGAAGTGTTCCAGTGTCTCCACAGCTTTGCCAACACTTGCTATTGTCCATCCTTTAAAGTATAGCCATGCTAGTGGGTCTGAAGTGGTTTCTTTTGGTTCTGATTTGTGTTTCCCTAGTGACTAATGATGTTAAACATCTTTTCTTATGCTTATTGGTCATTTGTATAGCTTTTTTTTTTTTTTTTGAGACAGTTTTGCTCTTGTTGCCCAGGCTGGAGTGTGGTGGCGTGATCTCAGCTCTACAACCTTCACCTCCTGGGTTTAAGTGATTCTCCTGCCTCAGACTCCCGAGTAGCTGGGATTACAGGCATGCGCCACCACGCTCAGCTAATTTTGTATTTTTAGTAGAGATGTGGTTTCTCCATGTTGGTCAGGCTGGTCTTGAACTCCCAACCTCAAGTGATCTGCCCACCTCGTCCTCTCAAAGTGCTGGGATTACAGGCGTGAGCCACCGGGCCCAGCTGTTCATTTGTGTATCTTCTTTGGAGAAATGTCTATTTAAATCCTTTGCCCATTTTTAAATTGAGTTATTTGTCTGTTTCTTTTTTTTTTTTTTTTTTTGAGACAGAGTTTTGCTCTTGTTACCCAGGCTGGAGTGCAATGGCGCGATCTCGGCTCACCGCAACCTCCACCTCCCAGGTTCAGGCAATTCTCCTGCCTCAGCCTCCTAAGTAGCTGGGATTACAGGCACGCGCCACCATGCCCAGCTAATTTTTGTATTTTTTTTTTTGTAGAGACGGGGTTTCACCATGTTTACCAGGATGGTCTCGATCTCTTGACCTCGTGATCCACCCGCTTCAGCCTCCCAAAGTGCTGGGATTACAGGCTTGAGCCACCGCGCCCGGCTATTTGTCTGTTTCTTATCAAACAGAGTTTTTAATATATTCTAGATACAAGTTCCTTATCAGATACATGATTTGCACATTATTTTCTTTATTCTGCGGGTTGTCGTTTTGCCTTCTTTGTGATATTGTTGGCAGCACAGAATTTTTAAATTTTGCTGTAGTCTAATTTATCTTGATTATGCTTAAAATCTAAGATTCAGTAACAGAGTGGTGATGCCATTATCAAGGTTATGAGATGCAGAAGGGAAGGGTAGGTGTTTCAGGGGTGGGAGGTACTTAGGCAACAGAAGGTGGTGAGTTCCATTCTGGGTATACGGAGTTTTACGTGCAGAGGAGACAATCAGAGAAAGAGATGCCAAGCAGACATCCGGCAGTATGATTAGGTGTGGAGGAAAGACGTCTGGAGATGAAGGAGGAGCCTTAGGAGGCATCCTCTTAGAAGTAACAAGTGAAGCTATAGACCTCGATGAGATAAAAAATGAGCTAGGTGTAGTGGCACGCGCCTATAGTCTTGGCTACTAGGGAGGCTGAGATGGAGGATCACTTGAACCTGGGAGGTGGAGGTTGCAGTGAGCCGAGATTACGCCACTGCATTCCAGTTTGGGCAACAGAGTGAGACTCCATCTCAAAAATAAAAAGGAAGAGGTCACTGAGGGCCTTTGGGGTAGCAAAGGGCTGTGGGGTAGCAAATCTGGGCTGAGGCTGTCAGAGTGAGCAGGAAGGCAGTATCAAGAAGTATTAAGCAGTTTTTTAAACCAAGGGAAGGTGGAGTAGCCCAACAGAAATGCTGAGTGACAAAAAGGTGTTATTTTTGTCTTTTTATTTTTATTTTGTTTTAAGGCGGAGTTTCACTCTGTCACCAGGCTGGAGTGCAGTGACGCAATCTTGGCTCACTGCAACCTCCTCCTCCAGGGTTCAAGCAATTCTTCTGCCTCAACTTCCCAAGTGGCTGGAACTACAGATGCATGCCATCGCACCCAGCTAATTTTTGTATTTTTAACAGAGACAGGGTTTCACCATGTTGGCCAGGATGATCTTGATCTCTTGACCTCATGATCTGCCTGCCTCAGCCTCCCAAAGTGCTGAGATTACAGGCGTGAGCCACCGTGCCTGGCCTTGACTTGTTTTTTAAGATTGAGGGTGAGTGTCTGAAGGGAAGGAGAAATGAAAGATTCAATGTTAGGGATTAGTTGATAGGACAAAGTCTCTACAGATGGAAGAGGCTGTGAGTGGAAGAGTTTGTCTTCCCAGTTAATTTCACAACATTACTGTTTTTGTTTGTTTGATTTGATGTTGTTTTGTTTTCTAAGGCAGATTTCCTAATATCCTTTAGTACAGTATTGGGGGCATCAGTTTGGGACGTGCTGGTCTAGTCTGAGAGCATCTTAAGGACAGGGATCTCATTCATCTGAGTTGTGGCCGTGGAACCTAATAGTAATGATGATAGGAGGAGGTGGACAAAGTAAGAAAAGGAAGAGCGTTCACCTCGACCCGGGAGGTGAGGCAGTTAAGTATGCTATGGGTGCAGGTTGAAATGGAGGCGTGAAGCCGGAGTTCACAGTCAGTGGCCCCCATTCTGTCAGCTGTGCGGAGACACTAACAACTCCCTAGGACACGTGGGGTGGAGGTGCCACTGTCAGCCTTTTCTGCCCTTATTCTTTCACTCGGAGTTTTGATATACACACAGGATATGAATGCCTTGCCATTGCAGACATCTGAGTAGCACACCCCTGCTGATCTTTAACACTACTTTTTGCATTTCCAGTTGATGCTTTCTGAGTGGTTAATTGATGTGCCTTCAGATTTGGGGCAGGAATGGATTGTGGTCGTGTGCCCTGTTGGAAAAAGAGCCCTTATCATAGCCTCCAGGGTGAGTAGCTGCCTGTCCCCTATGCCAGTAGGCCTGGTCTGTAGCGGGAGGCATTCTTTGTGCTCCATTGACCTTATCCGCCACAGCAGCCGTGCCCAGAGTGGAGCTTAAAACACTTTCCTGCAGGAAGGTTTGTTGACAGCCATCTTTGGTCTGGTGACATCCCTGCAGAATGAGGAAGCAAGAGGGCGAGGAGACCCTGTAGTCTAATGAGAATGATAACTTTCTCTCCACGCAGGGTTCTACCAGTGCCTACACCAAGAGTGGCTACTGTGTCAACAGGTTTCCCTCCCTTCTGCCAGGAGGCAACAGGCGAAACTCAACAGCAAAAGGTACCTACATAGAATATCTACGTATTAATCAGTAAAAGACAGTGTAATTTGCTTTAAAGACCCACTTTGATATCTTATCTTTGTTTATTTTTGTTTGTTTTTTGAGACAGAGTCTCACCTTATCGCCCAAGCTGGAGAGCAGTAGTGTGATCTTGGCTCACCTTAACCTCTGCCTCCCAGGTTCAAGCAATTCTCCTGCCTCAGCATCCCGAGTAGCTGGGATTACAGGCATGTGCTATTATGCCCAGCAATTTTTGTATTTTTAGTAGAGACTGGGTTTTACCGTGTTGGCCGGGCTGGTCTCAAACTCCTGGCCTCAAAGTGACCCACCCGCCTTGGCCTCCCAAATTGCTGGGATTACAGGTTTGAGCCACCGTATCCGGCCTGAAAGCTTCTCTTTGAAACTACATATAGACACCATCCTGGCCCCTGGACCAAGGACCTCCCCTTCAAGGACAGGCCTTCTCAGTTGCAGAATAAATGCAGCCCCATGAGGCCCGATGGGCCGTAAATTCCTCAATTAAGATCAACATGCCTTTGGACTTCTATTACAGGACAGCAGATGCAGATTTGCGGGGAAAGGTCCCTGAGAGAATGCCAGGAATAATGGTAGAGTCAGCTGATGCTGGGGAAGCTGGGCTTCCCTGCCAGACTCCCTTTTCTCCTTTTTCATTGTTGCAACCTTAGCTTCATCCTCCCCACTGGGCCCAGCTAAGTAGACTAAGGTCCTGCAGGAGAAATAACTTACCCACGGTTATTCAGCAAGGAATTGTCAGAGCTGGGCTTGCTTTCTTCTCTATCTTCTCAGGCTCCTTTGGTATTGTTCCTCATGTCCTCTGTACTGAGTCCAGACTTCTCTCTCTCTCTCTTTTTTTTTTTTTTTTTGGTGTGGTCTCATTCTGTGACCCAGGCTGTGGGTTCAAGGGCACAGTCACAGCTCACTGCAACCTTTACCTCTCAGGCTTGAGTGATCCTCCCACCTCAGCTTCCTGATTAACTGGGACTACAGGAGTGTGCCACCATGGCCGGCTAAATTTTGTATTTTTGGTAGAGATGGGATTTTGCCATGTTGCCCAGGCTAGTCTGGAACTTCTGGGCTCGAGCCATCTGCCTGCCTCGGCTTCCCAAAGTGTTGGGACTACAGGCGTGAGCCGCTGCGCCCAGCCTATCTCTGACTTCTCTCTTTGCGTTTAGTACTTTTCACATGCAGGCTTTGTCCCACCCATCCCGTGTCTTTACCCTAATCCTTGTACCCACCTTCTGTTCGGCTGACTTGCCTCTCCACATGTGCCCCGTTCATTCTGCCTCTGGGCCTCTGCTCATGCCACATTAGTACTTAGGTCTGAAACGCCCTCCCTTCTCCCCTCTCCCCTCTCCCTTCTGTTGTTTAAATCCTCCTGGTCCCAGAAGACTCTATTTATATCGTGTCTCTCCCTTGAAGCATTTCCTGCTATTCCAGCCTTCTCTTTCTGGAGTTCCTGTTGATCTTAGTATGAGCTCTATGATGCAGCTCTTCTCTCTTTCCTCTGTGATCATCCTATCCCCTTAAACCAAATGGTAACTTCCCTAAAAGCAGGGAATACTTATAGTTAATATTCCCCACATAACACAGTGCCTATGATAGGAACTCAAAAAGCAGTTGTAAACTAAAATGGAAGATGACTTGCTTTTAAACCTCTCTGAGTTGAGTAAATGTGCCAGTTTAACTAAAACTTCAGATTTCTCACTTGGCCTTGATCCATCTTGTGCTGTCTTACCCGAGTCACCATGAAGCTGTAGCTGGCAGCCAGACAGGATTCCCTCCCCAGTGAATCCTTAGTCCTTAGTGCCAGTGACTGCTGCAAGCACTGGGGATTGTTGGACCCGAGCCTCTAGGATGGGGCTCCCTAGGTTGTGGTGGTGGGAACCTAGTTGAAAGAAGAACTCTGTGCTGACTTTCTGCTTTGTGTCCACAGACTACACCATTCTAGATTGCATTTACAGTGAGGTAAACCAAACCTACTACATACTGGATGTTATGTGCTGGCGGGGACACCCATTTTATGATTGCCAGGTAGGGATACATACTCCCGTCATGGCTCTTCCTGTCTTCTCCTCTCCTCCTGGGGAAGCGGCTCAGCATGTGGGTTTGGTACGTGACCAACTTCTTGGTGTGTACAGGATGTGGTATATCAAGAACATTATCTAATGCTCCCTGCATCTTTGAGTGTGTTTAAATTAGCTTAGTTTTAAAAGAGAAATAGGAGGAACTAAGAGAAACATGCAGTTCTTGAGAGAAGGGAAGAGAGAAACGGCAGGGGTGTAGGCTGGGACTTGGTAGCAACTGCACCCGCCCCCTTATGTCTCTCCAGAGGATGGGAGGATTTCTGGCAGTGAAGATTATGGGGCAAGGGGGTGGGGATGCCACCTTGTGCAGGCAGCCCCAGGAAGAGAAGGTGGAATGTAAGTCGCCATCTGGTAGACTCCTGCAACCTTCACTCCTTCACCAACCACATCCTGACCCTGAAAATGGCAGGACCTCCTTGGTATGACCCGGAACCTCAAATCTCAAAGTTAGCTCTAAGAGGAGACTTTCCGAGTGAGGAGAGGCCCCAGTATTCTCCCCTTTAGTTTCACCATACCCCCACCATTTTACTATTGGTGATTCTTTTTTTTTTTTAAAATGGATGAGAGGTTTTTATGTTAATCAGGCTGGCCTCGAACATGTAGCCTTGCCTCCTGAAGTGCCAGGACAACTGACCTGAGCCACAATGGCTCCCTACTGTTGGTGATTCTTAACAGTGACAGCAGCAGTCATCAGGTGAGGCTGAGTCAGCCCCACAGGCCTCTATCCCTGTTAACAACAATTCTCCCCATCATTGTCCCAGTTGTATAATGGTGGGTTTGGGGGTTTTGGACTTCCTTTGCTCTCTGTCAGTTAGTGTATTATAATGGTTCTCAATGTGTAGTCTCCAGACCAGGCATATCAGAAAGTTGTAGAAATGCACATTCTCAGACCTGCTAACCTGAAGCTATGGGGCCAAGGCTGATGTGTGAACAGGCCTTCTGTGATCTTCATGCAGTCTGTCTCCATAGGCTGCTGCTTTTCTATAGCCATTCCCCTATACTAGGTTTCCAAAACCTGCTAGGTATGGTACACAGAATTCTAAGATACGTCTCATTCAAACAATAGCAATCATGATTTGCATTGCTAAGTACTTTGTGCATTATCTCACTGGATCCCTTACAACACCTCCCTAAGGTAAGGTAAGTACCATTATTAAACTTTTTTTTTAAAATTTGAGATGGAGTCTCCCTCTGTCACTCAGGCTGCAGTGCAATGTTGTGATCTGGGCTCACTGCAACCTCTGCCTCCCGGGTTCAAGCAATTCTCCTGCCTCAGCCTCCTGAGTAGCTGGGATTACAGGTGCGTGCTGCCACGCCTAGCTAATTTTTCTGTTTTTAGTAGAGATGGGGTTTCACCATGTTGGCCAGGCTGTCTCAAACTCCTGACGTCAAGTGATCTTCCCACCTCAGCTTACCAAAGTGCTGGGATTACAGGCATGAGCCACTGTACCCAGCTTGTCCTTGCCATATAGATGTGGAAGCTGAGATCCTAAGAAGCACAGGTTAAGTACCTTGCCCAAGTGCAGAACCAAGCCTGCAACTCAGAACATAAATTCAACGTAGAACATACTTTCCTTTAATTCTGCTGAAAGATATTATATTACATGTACTCACAACCTACGAATTTGATAACTAAAACCAAATATATTTTTACAATTTAAAGAAAAGACTTTATATATCTTTTTTAATTTCTAAAAGCAAAATAATTTAAAAGAGTGAAGAGGCCCAGCCAGGTGTGGTGGCTCATGCCTGTCATCTCAGCACTTTGGGAGGCCAAGGTGGGCAGATCACGAGGTCAGGAGATTGAGACCATCCTGGCCAACATGGCGAAACACTGTTTCTACTAAAAATACAAAAATTAGCCAGGTGTGGTGGCGTGCACCTGTAGTCCCAGCTGCTTGGGAGGCTGAGGCAGGAGAATCACTTGAACCTGGGAGGTAGAGGTTGCAGTGAGCCAAGATCACAGCACTGCACTCCAACTTGGTGACAGAATGAGACTCCATCTCAAAAAAAAAGAATGAAGAGGTCCTAAATAAGCACAGAAGGATATGTATCAGTAATTCCAGAGGAAAAAAAATAGTTTATGAAAAGTTACAACTGTGTAGTTTCTAATACTTATGATTAATAGAAAGCAAGAAGGATTATCAGTGTTTGGGAATATTGAATTAAAAAAAATAAAAATAAAGAGGGCCAGGCTTGGTGGCTCATGCCTGTAATCCCAACACTTTGGGAGGCCAAAGTGGGAGGATCACTTGAGGCCAGGAGTTTCAGACCAGCCAGGCCAACATAGCGAAACCCTACCTCTACTAAAAATATAAAAATTAGGCAGGTATGGTAGTGCATGCCTGTAATCCAAGCTACTCAGGAGGCTGAGGTAGAAGAATCACTTGAAACCGGAAGCAGGCTACAGTGAGCTGAGATCATGCCACTACACTCTAGCCTGGTGACACAGCAAGATTCAGTCTCAAAAAAACCAAAAACTACTACTGGGCCCGGTGCCATGGCACATACCTGTAGTCCTAGCTACTTCAGAGGCTCAGGTAGGAGGATCGCTTGAGCCAGGAGGTCTAGGCTACAGTGAGTTGTGGTCACACCAGTGCACTCCAGCCTGGGCCACAGAGTGAGACCCTGTCTCAAAAAGAAAAGCATGCTGGGTGTGATGGCTCACACCTGGAATCCCAGCACTTTCAGAGCCTGGGGGCAGGAGGATGACTGACCCGAGGAGTTCCAGACCACCCTGGGCAACATGGCAAGCCTCTACCAAAAATAAATAAATAAATAAATGGCCAATTGCAGTGGCTCACACCTGTAATCCCAGCACTTCAGGAGGCCGAGGCGGGCAGATCACGAGGTCAGGAGTTTGAGACCAGCCTGGCCAACATAGTGAAACCTCGTCTCTACTAAAAATACTAAAAAATTAGCCAGGTGTGGTGGCATGCACCTGTAGTCCCAGCTACTTGGGAGGTTGAGGCGGGAGAATTGCTTGAACCCAGGAGGTGGAAGTGGCACTGGGCCAGCCGAGACCATGCCATTGCATTCCACCCTGAGTGACAGAGTGAGACTCCCTCTAAAAAATAAACAAATAAGTCAGGTGTGGCGGTATGCACCTGTGAGTCCCATCTACTGTGGAGGCTATGGTGGGAAGATCCCTTGAGCCCAAGAAATCAAGGCTGTAGTGAGCCATGATCACACCACTGTACTCTAGCCTGGGTGACAGAGCGAGAGACCCAGTCTCAGCAAAAAAAAAAAACCTACTGGATTTTAAGAAACATGTTCAAAGATTTTACAAATATCTTTCTGACATTATGGTTTTAAGGGAAATGGGAGTGAGAACAGAAGGGCTTTGGGAGTCCGGGCATGGTGGCTCACGCCTATAATTCCAGCACTTTGGGAAGCTGAGGTGGGCGGATCACCTGAGATCAGGAGTTCAAGATCTGCCTGACCAACATGGTGAAGCTCGTCTCTACTAAAAATACAAAAATTAGTCAGGCATGGTGGCGGGCACCTGTAATCCCAGCTACTTGGGAGGCTAAGACAGGAAAGTCACTTGAACCCGTGAGGTGGAGGTTGCATTGAGCTGAGATCACACAATTACATTCCAGTCTGGGCAACAGAGCAAGACTTCATCTCAAAAAAAGGGTGTTTTTGTTTATATTACAGTTTAAAATGGAAAATATTTCATCTTTCTATTTCCCTTCTCTGTGGCAGACTGATTTCCGATTCTACTGGATACATTCAAAGTTACCAGAAGAAGAAGGACTGAGAGAGAAAACCAAGCTCAATCCGGTAAGGCCTGCCGGGCAAGATGGCTCATGCCTGTAATCCTAGCACTTCGGGTGGCTAAGGCAGGCAGATTACCTGAGGTCAGGAGTTCAAGACGAGCCTGGCCAATATGGTGAAACCCTGTCTCTACTAAAAGTATAAAAATTATCCGGGTGGTGGCAGGTACCTGTAATCCAGCTACTCAGGAGGCTAAGGCAGGAGAATCACTTGAACCTGGGAGGTGGATGTTGCAGTAAGCCGAGATTTCACCATTGCACTCTAGCCTGGGGGACAAGATCGAGACTTCATCTCAAAAAAAAAAAAAAAAAAATCCTGTAAGACCTGGTGTTAGGGGATCGCAGAGTTCCTTATGGGGACTGGTGTGGAGTGGTGTGGATTGGTCTGTTATCTAAATATGATCATTATGAATGATCTTTTTTGAGACAGCGTGGTATAAAGGGAAGAGTGTCAGTTTAACAATCATGCAGATCTGAATTTCATTTTTGGCTTTAATTATTATTAGTTTAACAGCCTGTGTTCTCACTCATAATGGGGAGCTAAGCTATGAGGATGCAAAGACATAAGAATAGTATAATGGACTGTGGGAACACGGGGGTAGGGTGAGGGATAATTGTGTACAGTGTACACTGCTTGGGTGATGGATGTACCACATCTCAGAAATCACCATTAAAGAACTTATTCATGTAACCAAACACTATCTGTTCCCCAAAAACGTACTGAAGTAATCGTAACTAAAAAACAGACTCAAAAAAAGTTTACTAGGTTAATAATCTCACTTAGCCTTAGTTTTTTCATCTGTAAAACAGAATAATATCTAATTTACAGAGTGTTATAAGACCTGAATGATGTAAATATACAAGTCTTCCTAACATAACACTCAGAGTAGGCACTCAATAAATAATGGTTGATAGCTGGGTGCGGCTCATGCCTGTAATCCCAGCACTGTGGGAAGCCAAGGCGGGCAAATCACCTGAGGTCAGAAGTTCAAGACCAGCCTGGCCAACATGGTGAAACCCCATCTCTACTAAAATACAAAAATTAGCCAGGCATGATGGCGGGTGCCTGTAATCCTAGCTACTCGGGAGGTTGAGATGGGAGAATTGCTTGAACTTGGGAGATGGTGGTTTTAGTGAGCCGAGATCTCACCACTGCACTCCAGTCTAAGCAGCTGAGCAAGACTCTAGCTAAAAAAAAAAAAAAAAAAAAAGTTGGTATAAAATGCTACTAACTACTTTTATTAATAATGCTATTTAGAATTCTAGGCCGGGCACAGTAGCTCACGCGTATATTCCCAGGACTTTGGAAGGCTGAGGTAGGTGGATCACTTGAGGTCAGGAGTTTGAGACCAGCCTGGGCAACATGGTAAAACCCCAACTCTACTAAAATACAAAAAATTAGCTGCATGTGGCAGCATGTGCCTGTAGTCCCAGCTATTCAGGAGGCCGAGGCAGGAGAATTGCTTGAACCCGGGAGGTAGAGGTTGCAGTGAGCCAAGATTGAACCGCTGCACTCCAGCCTGGGTGACAGAGCAAGACTTCGTCTCCAAAAACAAAAATACAAAAAATTAGCTGGGCATGGTGGCGCATGCCTGTAATACTGGTTACTTGGAAGGCTGACACAGGAGAATCTCATGAACCTGGGAGGCGTAAGTTGCAGTGAGCTGAGATCACATCACTGCACTCCAGCCTGAGTGACTGAGTAAGACTCCATCTCAAAAAAAAAAAGCACTGATGGCTGGATGCAGTGGCTCACACCAGTAATCCCAGCACTTTGGGAGGCCGAGGCTGGTGGATTGCCTGAGCTCAGGAGTTTGAGATCAACCTGGGCAACACAGTGAAACCTTGTCTCTACTAAAATACAAAAAATTGGCTGGGTATGACAGTGTCCACCTGTAGTCCCAGCTACTCAGGAGGCTGAGGCAGGAGAATCACTTGAACTCGGGAGGTAGAGATTGCAAGGAACTGAGATCATACCACTGCACTCCAGCCTGGGCGACAGAGCAAGACTCCATCTCCAAAAAAAAAAAAAAAAAAAAAACATTAGGCAGGCATGGTGGTGCATGTCTCTAATACCAGTTACTTGGGAGGCTGACGCAGAAGAATCACATAAACCTGGGAGGTGGAAGTTGCAATGAACTGAGATGATGTCACTGCACTGCAGCCTGGGCAACTGAGTGAGACTCCATCTCAAAAAAAATAAAAAAAATAGTCCAGGCATGGTGGCTCATGCTGTAATCCCAGCACTTTGGGAGGCCGACGTGGGCCGATTGCTTGAGGTCAAGAGTTCAAGACCAGACTGGCCAATGTGGCAAAACCCTGTCTATACTAAAAATACAAAAATTAACCAGGCATGGTGGTGTGCTCCTGTAATCCCAGCTACTTAGGAGGCTGAGGCAGGGGAATCACTTGAACCTGGGAAGCAGAGGTTGCAGTGAGCCAAGATCACACCACTATACTCCAGCTTGGGCGACAGAGCAAGACTCTGTCTCAAAAATAATAATAATAATTCGAGTTCATTGGTTCTAAAACTTTAGTATGCATCAGTAGCACCTGGAGGCCTGGTAAAACATAGACTAACCAGTAGAGTTTCTGATTCATTAGGTCTAGGGTGGGACCTGAGAATATGCATTTGTTTTTGTTTGTTTGTTTTCTTTGAGATGGAGTCTCGCTCTGTAGACTGGATACAGTGGCACTGTCTCAGCTCACTGCAACCTCCGCCTCCTGGGTTCAAGTGATTCTCCTGCCTTAGCTTCCCAAATAGCTGGAATTACAGGCACACACCACCATGCCCAGCTAATTTTTGTATTTTTAGTAGAGACAGGGTTTCACCATGTTAGCCAAGCTGGTCTCAAACTCCTGACTTTGTGGTCTGCCCGCGATGGCCTCCCAAAGTGCTTGGATTACAGGTGTTAGCCACTGTACTTGGCCAGCGTCAGTAATTTTTTAAATCTCCTCAGATAAGCAGGGCGGGATGGGAGAAAAAAAAAAAAAAAAAGGTCCTCAGATGAAAGGCCAGGCACAGTGGTTCACGGCTATAATCCCGGCACTTTGGGAGGCTGAGGCAGGTGGATCACAAGGTCAGGAGTTTGAGACCAGTCTGGCCAACATAGTGAAACCCTGTCTCTACTAAAAATACATAACATTAGCTGGGTGTGGTGGTATGCGCCTGTAGTCCCAGCTACTCTTGAGGCTGAGGCAGGAGAATTGCGTGGACCCAGGAGGCAGAGGTTGCACTGAGCTAAGATGGCGCCATCACACTCCAGCCCAGGTAACAGTGTGAGACCTCGTTTCAAAAAAATAAATAAATAGGCCAGGCATGGTGGCTCACACCTGTAATCCTAGCACTTTGGGAGGCCAAGGCGGGCAGATCATGAGGTCAGGAGTTTGAGACCAGCCTGGCCAATATGGTGAAACCCTCTCTGTACTAAAAATACAAAAATTAGCCAGGAGTGGTGGCATATGCCTGTAGTCTCAGCTACTCAGGAGGCTGAGGTAGAAAAATTGCTTGAACCTAGGAGGTGAAGTTTGCAGTTAGCCAAGATTGTGCCACAGCACTCCAGCCTGGATAACAGAGCAAGACTTCATCTCAATAAATGAATGAATGAATGAATGAATGCTCCCCAGATGATTCTTGTGGATAAAGGAAGGTTGGGGCTGAGTGTAGTGGCTCATGCCTATAATCTCAGCATTTTGGGAAACTGAGGTGGGAGGATCCCTTGAGCCCAGGAATTTGAGGATGCAGTGAGCTGTGATTGTGCCATTGCTCTCCAGCATGGGTGACAGGGTTAGATCTTATCTTTCTTTCTTTTTTTTTTTTTTTTTTTTTTTTATAAAAAAAAAGGAAGGTTGGGAACCACTGACCTAGTAGTTAAGAAAGTGGAGGGGGGAATTGTTAGAGAAGGATGAAACCGAAAACTTTTCTTCTTTGTTTTTTTGTTTTGTTTTGGTTTGGTTTGGTTTGATTTGGTTTGGTTTTTGAGACAGGGTCTCGCTCTGACCCCAAGCTGGAGTGCAGTTGCGCCATCTCAGCTCACTGCAGCCACAGTCTCAGACTCAAGCGGTCCTCCTACCTCAGTAACCTCTCAAATACTTAGGACTACAAATTTTTCTTCTTTGACAGGGATTTTTTTTTCTTTTCTTTTCTTTTCTTTTTTCTTTTTCTTTTTTTTTTTTTAGAGATGGAGTCTTGCTCTGTTGCCCAGGCTGGAGTGCAGTGGCACGATCTCAGCTCATTGCAGCCTCCACTTCCTGGGTTCAAGCGATTTTCCTGCCTCAGCCTCCAAAGTAGCTAGGACTCCACTCCTGGATGATTTTTGTATTGTTAGTAGAGCTGGAGTTTCGCCATGTTGGCCAGGCTGAGACCCAGGTCCCTGGTTTAGCTGTCATGGCTGCTTGTAAAGTGAATGGGTGTCTGTGACCTCAGGTGATCAGCCTGCCTCTGCCTCCCAAAGTGCTGGGATTACAGGCATGAGCCACCATGCCGGATCTGACATTTTCAATTGCTTGGGCCAATATCAATTAAAACATAAATACTAATTCCTTGTTCTAACTTCTATTTCAGTTTAAATTTGTGGGGCTAAAGAATTTTCCTTGTACTCCTGAAAGCCTGCGTGATGTGCTATCTATGGATTTCCCTTTTGAGGTAACAAAACCATTGTCTTTATTGCCTTGATGTGATGATAGGCTACAGAGAGACTTAGTTACACAAAATCTTAAAATATCCCCTGACTGTCCTGTGTCAAAGCATCAGAAGGGGACTGCAGGTGATTCTGGAGAAAGGATGTACTTGCTGCCCTTCAGAGCCTGAGCTCCACCCCTGCTGGATAAGTCAGAATGCTGGCACTGGAAGGGCCCTTACCAGACAACTCGTCCAACTCCCTCATTTTACAGATGGAAAAACTGAAGCCCAGAGAGGGGCATTGCAGTGAGCTGAGATCTTGTCAGTGCACTCCACTCCAACCTGGGCAACAAGAGCGAAACTCTGTCTTGAAAAAAAAAAAAATTGGCCGGGCGCGGTGGCTCAAGCCTGTAATCCCAGCACTTTGGGAGGCTAAGGCGGGTGGATCATGAGGTCAAGAGATCGAGACCATCCTGGTCAACATGGTGAAACCCCGTCTCTACTAAAAATACAAAACATTAGCTGGGCATGGTGGCGCGTGCCTGTAATCCCAGCTACTCAGGAGGCTGAGGCAGGAGAATTGCCTGAACCCAGGAGGCGGAGGTTGCGGTGAGCCGAGATCGCGCCATTGCACTCCAGCCTGGGTAACAAGAGCAAAACTCCGTCTCAAAACAAAAAAACAAAACAAAACAAAAAAAATTGCCTAGTCACCATTTTTTAGGATGGAGTTTCACTCTGTCGCCCAGGCTACAGTGCAATGGCATGATGTCAGCTCATTGCAACCTCCACCTCCTGGTTCAAGTGATTCTCCTGCTTCAGCCTCCTGAATAGCTGGGATTATAGACGCATGCCACCATGCCTGGCTACTTTTTGTGTTTTTAGTAGAGACAGGGTTTCACCATGTTGGTCAGGCTGGTCTCAAACTCCTGCCTGGTGGTCCACCTGCCTCAGCCTCCCAAAGTGCTTGGATTACAGGTGTGAGCCACTGTGCCCAGCGAAACTGGATATAATTTTGTAAAAGGATCACAGCTTCCCAAATGAGGAAATGGCAAATGCTGAGTTGCGTGCATTTCTGGGAGTCAATTAAGAAGGTGGTAAGATCCCAGCACAGCTCTTGAGCAAAAAAAAAAAAAAGAAGGTGGTAAGAATTTATTTATAACTTTTATGCCCCAGTGACAATAAATGCTTTTTAGAGATGAGTCACTGAATCATAGAAAAGAAAATGTGGGACTGTAGGAGGTCTTCCCGTTCAGAAAAACTGAGTTTCCCAGAACATAGCTCGCAAACAATTTAGGGGGAGGTTTAGGCAGCCAACCATAGCCGGGGAGGCAGGGTTTCTGGACAGCCTGTTTCCCCTGTGCGCAGCAGTCTGTTGCCTCGGAGAGGCCTGTCCAGTTCCTCTGCTCTTCATTCTGTGCACAGAGCTCATCCACTGTGACACAGACCCCTAAGTGGGGGAAAGTCCGTGGAATCTGGGTACAGAAGACCAGAGTTCAAGTCAAATTCCTGCTTCCTATTTACTATGTATTTTAAGGAGGTCCTCAGAACTTCCTGAGCCTGAGCAGCCCCATCTCTCAGACACCCTCATGGGTAAGGGTAAAATAGTGGGCAGGAAAGCACTCTGTAAACAGGAAAGTGCTATTTATGTTTTTCTTTTTTTTTTTCTTTTTCTTTTTTTGAGACAGAATCTCACTCTGTCATCCAGGCTGGAGTGCAGTGGTGCGGTCTCAGCTTACTGCATCCTCTGCCTCCTGGGTTCAAGCGATTCTCATGCCTCAGCCACCCGAATAGCTGGGATTATACCACCATGCCTAGCTGTTTTTTGTTTTTTTTTTTTTCAAGTAGAGATGGGGTCTTACCACGTAGCCCAGGCTGGTCTTGAACTCCTGAGCTCAAGCAGTCTGCCAGCCTCAGTCTCCCAGAGTGCTGGGATTATAAACATGAGCCACCACGCCCAGCCAATGTTTTTATTTTCTCAAATTTAGTTTTCTAGGCCATTTGTTTATTTAGAGAAATTGCATGCGTGAGAAGCTGGGACTCTTTCCTCTGGGACTCTCCTCTGTCAATGACCCAGAAACAGGAGTCGGACCATAAGAGCTGCCCTTGTGTATATAGGCTCTCCTGGAAACATGTGGCCCCAGAAGTCATTTGGATCCTCAATTTCCCCCCATCCTGTAGGTAGATGGACTTCTCTTCTACCACAAGCAGACCCACTACAGCCCCGGAAGTACTCCCTTGGTGGGCTGGCTACGCCCCTACATGGTGTCAGATGTCCTCGGTGTAGCTGTACCAGCTGGCCCGCTGACCACCAAGCCAGAATATGCTGGACACCAGCTCCAGCAGATTATGGAGCACAAGAAGAGCCAGAAGGAGAAACTTACACACAAGGCCTCCGAGAGTGGGCACTATGAGTTGGAGCACCTGTCTACCCCCAAACTGAAGACTTCTCCCCACAGCCCAGACCAACCTGGAAACGTCATGGAGAATTAAAGTGGGAAGCCTCCTTAAGAAGCTACAGGATGGTACCTGGCCCCAGAGGGAGTACTGGGGAGGAGGACAGTAATAACAGGTGACTTCATTCTTTAGAGCGAACCTGGCCAGAAAGAGTTTATCTATAATCTGAAATGCTGGCTCAAACAGTTGTGTGGAGGCTCCCAGATTGGGTAGCATTCAGGCTGATTTGAGCAGCTCCCACTGTGATAAGTGTATACTAGATCCGCAATGTAAATATATGTGATTCGTAAGAAACATTTTGTGGTTCTTAAGCTTTAGATAGCCATGAATCTCTCCCCTTCCCACTCCAGTCCCCTGGGCTACTTCAGCCATGGCTGTTCAAATCTTGGCCCATTTCACTCTTTTTAGCACTCAGAGATTCTGCTGAGTTTCCAGTTGTTGCTGCCGAAAGGTTTTACCAGGAACTGCAATTCTTGGTATTTGAGTATGTTCCCTCTTCTGAGAAGACAAGTGTGATTTTCTTTGGTTTAGACATTGCCAGAGATAAAATGCAAATGGAATTCATTCACTCCTTCAGCAAACATTTGTGCCTACCAGGAGATAAGCCTTGTCCTGGGTCCCTGCCAAGTAGAGGGGTTATTGAAGTGGACAAGACTTAGTCCCTGCCCTTGAGGAGCTCACACTCCCGTGAGAAAAGAAGCCCACCAGGAGACTTTGGGAGAGGATGCTGGAAAGAGATAGGAGGTTTTAGATTTTGTGTCATGGATAAAGGAAGCTAAGGAAGAACTTTGAGCAGGCAAGGTCCCTTGAGATTTATGAACTAGAATTCTTTGGCAGCTGTGAGAAGGGCAGATTGTGTTGGAAACTAATTAGTTTCTGCATTATGTTCAGGAAATGGATCCCACTCCCTGTGGCCTGTCAGCTCCCACATTGCTTCCCATCTTTCTAGGACTCTTGTCATGGATACAAATACTTCACCATTCCCTCCAGCAGCACTAGTGTCCTGTGGACAAATTTTCACAGGGATCCAGGTCAGCTCTTGTCTGATACGCAGTTGTCCCTTTGTGTTGATTAGTTCTGGGAACAGATTTGGGCAGAGGTGGTAGGTATGTGGAGCCTGATTACACAACTTCAGCATATCCAGTGGAACTAGTCTCAGTGTCGGCTCTTAGAGAGCTGCTCAAGCTGACCTTGTAAAATTGGAGAAGGAAGACTCCGCCCTCCCACCCTCATTCATTGATGATCCTGCTGGCTGCAGATTCAAGCATTTGCCTTCATCAATAAGCTCTTTCCTGAATTTAGGTCAATTCTGCAATAGGAACATCGCGTTCCTCTTGCCAAGGAGCATGTTGTAGGCTGCCTAGACATTTAGTCTCTGTTTGGTAATGTTCTGAGTGCTCTAGTCTGTGCTGTCAGCAGCCAACCATATCAACAAGTACAACTTGGTATTTTTGAATGGTAGCTTGAAGGGCTTTTCCAGAGTACCCCTTATATTTTTAACTGAGGAGCCAGTACTATCTATTAATCATTGAATAGCAGTGTGTCCCCTGGTCATATTTGTCTCACTTTCTCTGTCTTTTTTTGTTGTTAATGTAGAGACGGAGTCTCACTATATTGTCCAGGCTGGTCTTAAACTCCTGGGCTCAAACGATCCCCCTGCTTTGCCTTCCCAAAGCACTGGCATTGCAGGTATGAGCCACCACATCTGGCCACCTAGTCTTTTTTTTTTTTTCTTTTTTTTTTTTTTTTTTTTTAGATAGGGTCTCACTCTGTCACCCAGGCTGGAGTGCAGCAGCACCATCACAGCTTACTGTAGCCTCGACCTCTTGGGCTCAAGTGACTCTTCCACCTAAGCTCCCAAGTAGCTGGGACTACAGCCACCACACCTGGCTACTTTTGTATTTTTTGTAGAGACAGGGTTTTGCCATGTTGCTCAGCTGGCCTTGAACTTCTGAACTCAAGTGATCCCTCCACCTCAGCCTCCCAGAGTGCTGGGATTGCAGGCATGAGCCATCACACCCGGTCTCTGATACTATTGCCCAGTGTGGCCTACCTCGCTTGCCTTGGCAGTAGGGCCAACTTGGCATGAGTTAGCAAAGAACCACTATTTGAGATCACCTATTTTACCTCAAGTACTGCTGGAACCTGTGCACCGAGAAAAGACCAGGATTTGCCGGGCACGGTGGCTCAAGCCTGTAATCCCAGCACTTTGGGAGGCCGAGGTGGGTGGATCACGAGGTCAAGAGATCGAGACCATCCTGGTCCACATGGTGAAACCCCGTCTCTACTCAAAATACAAAAAATTAGCTGGGCATGGTGGCGCGTGCCTGTAATCCCAGCTACTCAGGAGGCTGAGGCAGGAGAATTGCCTGAACCCAGGAGGCGGAGGTTGCGGTGAGCCGAGATCGCGCCATTGCACTCCAGCCTGGGCAACAAGAGCGAAACTCCGTCTCAAAAAAAAAAAAAAAAAGAAAAGACCAGGATTCTCAGCCAGTAGACACAGAATAAGCAGTCTTGGTTATCTTAATGTTAACTCAAAAAAGTCATGCTGAGTTCCAGTGGCTGCCTTGGAAGAGTCTGTGTCCCCTAATCCGCTTGTGTTTGGCAGTGATTTCTCTATATTTGCTGTTTCTCTACTTGGTTATTTCTCATTCATGTCTAAACTACTGAAATCTGACTTCTGTTCTTGTTACTTCAAGTCCTCTAATCAAAGGACCAGTGGTCTCCTGTTTTCCAAATCTGAGGGACATTTCCCCAGCTTTTTCCTCCCTGACTTCAGCTGCCATCTATGTACTGATCCCTTCCCTCCAGACCTGTGTATCTGTCTACTTGCCATTCATCTCCAGTCACCGTAAAATTCAGCATGTCCCGAACTGAACTGAGTATCTTTCCCCTCAATCCCCCTCAACCATGCTCTTCCTGGAATCCTTGTCCTTGTTAATGGCACTTAGTCCCCCGTATTAGGACTCTAGGAGTCAGAGTCCTACATTTCACAGCTAGTGAGTCACCATGTCCTTTAATTCCCGCCTCTCTCCATTTCCTCTATTTTCTCTACAACCTTGATTCAGGCCTTCATCATCTCTCCCACAAGGTACTGCCACCTCCTACCTCGTTTACCTGCCACTAGTCTTTTCCCCTTTGAATCCATTCCTGCCATAGCCGAGCGATCCTTTCTAAAAATGTAAGTTTGATCATGTTACTTCAAGGATGTCCCATTGCCTGCATGATAGATGTGAAGCTTCTCATCCTGCCATGCAAGTTCATTCATGAGCTGACCTTAGTATATCTCTCCAGCCTCATAAATTACCTTGCCTCCTTTGCTGCCTACGTTTCAGTGATGCTGCTTTGTAGTTTCATGTATAAAGGCATCTGCTTCATACTTTTCCCCCTGCACCATCCGCTCTCACTCTGACTAGATTCACCTGGTGGGTATACCTACTCATCTTTGAAGGATGCCATTCAAAAGATACCTGTTTGAACATTTTCCTCTGCATGTAGGATAGCCATTCTTTGTGCCCTCCCCATCCATACAGCCGGCTCTCACAGTGATTATATTTTACCACACTTATGTATTTACATATATATTTCCCAAACTTAGGGAGTAGTCCATGACTACCCTTACTTCTAATATCAGTTGCAAGTTTGGGGGTCCCTAAGACTACCCTCTGGTTTTATAATTTGCCAGGACTCACAGACCTCATTGAAAGCTGTTATAGTCACAGTTTATCACAAGAAAGGAAACAGAATAAGTTGTCCAAGGGAAGAGATGCCTGGAACAGAAACCAGGAAAGTTTCAAATGCAGAGTTCTCAGTGGAATCATGGACAGAGTCAGTTTTCCCAGTATGTGTCACAATACTCACAGAATATTGCCAATCAGAATCTCACTTGAGCCTTGATATCCAAAGTTTCATTTTTTGGGGGTTTTTGTTTTTTGGTTTTTGTTTGTTTTTTGTTTTTTGAGATGGAGTCTTGCTCTATTGCCCAGGCTGGAGTGCAGTAGCACAATCTGGGCTCACTGCAACCTCTACCTCCTGGGTTCAAGTGATTCTCCTGCCTCAGCCTCCCAAGTAGCTGGTATTACAGGCACCTGCCCACAATGTCCAGTATTTTTTTTTTTTTTTTTTGAGACGGAGTTTCGCTCTTGTTACCAAGGCTGGAGTGCAATGGCGCGATCTCAGCTCACTGCAACCTCCGCCTCCTGGGTTCAGACAATTCTCCTGTCTCAGCCTCCTGAGTAGCTGGGATTACAGGCACGCACCACCATGCCCAGCTAACTTTTTGTATTTTTAGTAGAGCTGGGGTTTCACCATGTTGACCAGGATGGTCTCGATCTCTTGACCTTGTGATCCACCTGCCTCAGCCTCCCAAAGTGCTGGGATTACAGGCTTGAGCCACTGCGCCTGGCCAATCTCCAGTATTTTAAGTGGAGAGAGGGTTTCACTATGTTGACCAGGTTGGTCTTGAACTCCTGACCTCAGGTAATCTGCCCACCTCAGCCTCCCAAAGTGCTAGGATTATAGGCATGAACCACTGTACCTGGCCAGGATGGTGTCCAAAGTTTTTATTGGGGCTCAGTCATGTGGACCTCGTTGTCTGCCCCTGTGACTGACCTCAGTCTCCAGCCCCTCCAGAAGTCTAGCTAATAAAGGGTGATCCAAAGTCTCCCTGCTCCCTCATCACATTGCTAAACTATCTGGTACAGCCCAAAGACTTCTGCCTAAATCACATTGTTAGACTGTCCAGTGTGGCCTAAGGCCTGCCTCCTGGTAAACAAAGATATTTTCATCAGGCAGGACATTCCAAGGGCTTTGAGGTTACCTCTCAGGAACCAAGGGCAAAGGCCAGAACTCTCTTTGCAAGGTTAAGTTCTTTACTACACACTCCCTCTATTAGCTAGCAAGTTCCATGAGGTCAGAAACCTGGTATTCCTCATCTTTAGGTCCCCAGTGCCTGGCATTATCCCTGGCACTTGTTACATCAATAACTTTTAGTTGAGTGAATGAAGAAATACTAAGGTGGAATGAGAATGCACTAGAGGAGAGCACCTCCTCTCTGCCTCTGCACAGGAGTGACCTTGGTGAGAAAGCTGAGTGGAGGTGTGTGGCAGGCTGCTAACAGGTGCTTGGATATGCTACAGACTTCTAAGAACAAGAACTATAGTTAGTTATGTGGATGTGACTGAAAGGATAGCCTGAAAGCTCACATTGTACATTGGAAGAGGGTAAGACAATCACCCTAGCTGTCCTTTCTAATAAAGAAATGAGACTGGGCATGGTGGTTCACACATGTAATC